GGGGGCTTCCAGAGCCCCCCCAGCCCAGCGCCCCCCTCCCTCCAGGCCAACCCCCACTTCCCTCAGAGCCTTTTCCCCAAAACACGGACAAAAATAACGAGGAGGGGGGCGTGGGGGGGTGTTTCGCTGCAGGTCGCCCGGGTTCTGCCTCTCCACGAAAGCCGGTTCCAGGTCCGTCCTCGCCGCCCTGGCGTCGAAAGTGAAGCGCATCAACGGGAGGTACGAGAGGTTTCTGGAAAGGACCTTCCCCCGTTTCTACGTGCTGTATGCCACTTTCACGAAAGGTAGGTTCCAGGGAGGAGGGGATTTTTCCGCTTCTCTGAGGAAAACGGAGGCAGCTGGAAACACGCTGCCTGTTCCCCTCCCGGGGCTAAAAACCGCATCGGCGGAGGTGTTTGCCAGGGAATCGGGGACCTGAAGGCGCTCTCTGTTTCGGCAGGAATCCAAGCGCTCTTCCTGGAAGTAAAAGAAATAAGAAAAATCAAATCTAAAATGTCCCATCAGAGACTGAGCGTTCAGCAGCTTCCCTACCGGGAGATGGAGAGGCTGCGGCAGGTACGGCGCCGCGCTCGGGACGTGTTTCGGTGCCGTGGCGCCCGGGGACGCTTCCTCTCTGCAAAAAGGGGCTTGAGTTCATGTGCAGGGCTTTGGCGGAGGCTCGGAGAGGCCGACTCCTCCGGGTGAGGCGCGTTCCCTGCCTAAAAACAGGGTTTGGAAGCTGTGGCCGGAGCCGGGGCTGTTAATTTTGCGGGAATTTCACCAGTTTGGCATCAGATCCTGATTCTCTCTTCTCATTTTGGAGGCAGTTTCGCAGGGACGTGATCAAGGCCATTCCCATCGGAGTTATCGCCATCCCGCCCTTCGCCAACTTCTTGGTCATCGTCCTGATGTGAGTACCGGCGTCGCGGTGGCCGCCAGGGCTCGGCCACAGCCCCGATCTTTGGGCTCCTTGATGCCGATAGCTTAAATTTCATGGATTTGGGTTTTTTTTAGAGTTATAAATCCAGCCAGACGCTCTCCCTTCCTCCCTCCACCTCTCGCTGTAATAAAAAGTTACCCGTAGCCTGTCGAGCCCCGCGATTATTTCGCAATACCGGCTCCTGCGTGCCAGCAACCCGCCCGGCTCCCTGCTTCTAACGCGGAGAAATAATCCCCGGCATGCAGGGAACAGCCCTCCGCGTGCTTGGCCGGAGAAACCTCCTTGCACAATTCCCTCCCAGCTGTCTCCGTAGTGCTTCGTACGTCCCTCTCCCTGCCAGCTGTCCTGCTGCCGGAGCTAAATCTGGGCTAAATCCCTGGATTTTTCAATTCTGCTCCCTGGCTTTCCTGTTCTGCGGGTGGGTGAGGGCCCCGCTGCATAAAATGGCGCAGGGTGGGGATCTCTGTGTCGCGTCGAGATCTCTATGTTGTGTTGAGCCTTGGCTGCAGCAGAGAGGCTCCGACCGGGCACGGCAGCGATCCGATTGCCTGGAGCGCTCCTTCCTGAGCCCGCCACGGCCTTTGGAGGAGCAAATCTTCTCTGACAAGGTGACCTGCTTAGTGGAGGAGGGAAAGGCTGTGGTTGTTGTTTACCTTCTCAGATCTGATTGATTCATTCGTGACACCGTTTCCCACAGCATTCCGCTGGAGAAACCGGCTGCTCACGGCTTGGACAGGCGTGCGCTTCGCTGGGTTAAAAACCGGCTGGACGGCCAGGCCCAAAGATGGTGGTGAACGGGGTTAAATCCTGCTGGTGGACAGGCACCGGTGGTGTCCCCAGGGCTCCGTACTGGGACCAGTCCCGTTTCACGTCGTTACCAACGATAAAGGGGATCCGGGCACCCCGGGTCGCTGGGCCCGGGTTTAACAAGGCTCAGGGCCGGGTCCTGCACTCGGGGCACAACAACCCCAGGCAGCGCCGCAGGCGTGGGGAGGAGCGGCTGGGAAATGGAAAAGGCCCTGGGGGTGGTGGAGAGCGGGTGGGTGGGAGCCAGCAGGGTGCTCGGGTGGCCAAGAGGGCCAGCGGCATCTTGGCTTTTATCAGGAAAGGGGGCTGGAGCGTGGCCAGGGCAGGGCAGCGAGGCTGGGGCAGGGGCTGGAGCCCGAGGGTGGTGAGGGGCGGCTGGGGGAGCTGGGGGTGCTCGGCCTGGAGAGGAGGAGGCTGAGGGGAGCCCTCATCGCTCCCCCAACACCCGAAAGGAGGCCGGAGCCAGGCGGGGTCGGGCTCCTCTCCCCAGGAACAAGCGCTGGGACGAGAGGGAAGGGCCTGGAGCTGCGCCAGGGCAGGTTTGGGTTGGGTACGGGGAGAAATCTCCTCCCCCAAAGGGCTGTCAGGCCCTGGCCCAGGCTGCCCGGGGCAGGGGCTGCGTCCCCATCCCTGGGGGGATTTCAAAGCCGGGGAGATGTGGTGCTTGGGGACATGGTTTAGTGGTGGCCTTGCCAGCGCTGGGTTAGCGGTTGGACTCGATGATCTAAGCATCTTTTCCAACCCAAGCGATTCCATGATTCTGTGATTCCCGACCTCGCCCCTTTGGAGGAGCAAATGTCCGCAGCTCCTAGGGGCAAGATGAGCTGTGCCGGCACAGGACGTTGCTTGCGCCTCTTTCCAGCAGCACGAAATCCGACTGCCCTGGCTCATGCCTGCGGTTTTCCTCCCTGAATCCCTGTCTCTTCTTCTCTCCAAGGTATTTCTTCCCACGCCAGCTCTTGATCCGCTACTTCTGGACCCCCAGCCAGCAAGTTGAGTTCCTGGATGCCTATGATGCCATCCGGAGGGACTCGTATCCGGATGTGGTGGAGAGTTTAGCCCTGGCAGCGCGTTCCCTGCCTGAGCCGCAGCTGCAAAAACGCCTGCAGGAGCTCTGCGCCGAGGTACGTCAACACCGCGGCCGGTATCGCCCATCCAGCCTGTGCCGCCGCCTCGGCTCTGCCTGGTGGCCGTGGACGCCCGTGGGAGGTGTCAGCAACACACGCCGCCGCTCTTTCAGGTACAGCGAGGTTCCCAGCCGCGCGTGGCTGAGCTCTATGCTGTGAGAAGTTTGTTTTCGGGATCTCCGCTGGGTCTGAACAAGCTCCAGGTGTCTCATGTGGTGAGTGCCGCTTTTCTCCTGCTGGCAGCTCAGAGCTGGCTCTTACCGAAGAGCGCCGAGGGGCTAATCCACTCAGTCGTGCCCCAAACAGAGCGTTGTGCCCTAAAACCAGACCCCTTCCACCCCAAACCATTCCGTGATTCCATGAAAACAGCCCCAGCACGAGGCTGTTTGTCTGTCCTTGCTGTAGGTCCCTGGCTCGGTGGGACCATCGGCCACATTGGAGCCGTCCCACGCACCCGAGCTCGCCCTGGCCACCGCATCCAGCGCAGGACAGCGCTCCCGTCTCTGAACACCCGCTCCCTGCTCCGCTCGCCGAGCTGGGCAGCCGAGCTGGGCTTAATGGGAGCCGCTGGGGGCTGCTCAGGCTTTCAGCGTGGGCAGGACAATTAGCCAGATAATTAGAGAGGAACAAAATATGGGGCCTGACTGGAATGGGAGAGGCTTTATCTGATTTAGGTTGTGCCTGAATGGGTCGGACACCATTTTTGGAGGGGTCGGATGCCCTCAGCGGTGACCCTGCCCTTGTTTTCCCTCTCAGAGAGCCCTAAGCCGGGTCCTGTTTCTCACCCCCCACTTGCCGGCCTTTTTCCTGAGGCATCGCCTGCGGAGCCACGTCTTGGAGATCCGGCACCTGGACCGCGCCATGCTGCGCCTGGGCTTGGGCCAGCTCTCCGAGGAGGAGCTGAAAGCGGTGAGGACGCCTGCTCCAGCCCCGCGCCGGCTGCTTTACCCTGGGGTTGCCTCGTCCCGGCCCTCCCCATCGTTAGCAGAGCTGCGTGGGGGCACAGCCCGTTCCTCCAGAGCCACCGCGAGGCGAATTACGGCCGCTCTCCTCCGGGACGGCGTTTTCTAAGCCCATTTTCCGTGCCGGGACAACGCTGGGGCACCACGGGGCACGATTCACCATTGCTCATCCCCGCTTCACGCCGCGGAAGGATCACGGCGCGGTCCCCGGCGTTTGGTGTGACCCGGTGTGCCTGAACATCTCCGCATCTTTTTCCTCTCCCCTGCTCCGCAGGCTTGTTACCTCCGGGGCCTGAACTCCACTCATCTCGGCATGTCCGAGTGCAGAGCGTGGCTGGAGCAGTGGCTGGGGCTCTCCTGCAAGCTGCAAGGTAACGGCGGCCGAGGGGCAGCTCCTGCCTGGTGGGGCAGGGGGGACCTGGGAGCCTCTCGAGTTTCTCTGGGCCCAGGGAGCGTCAGCTCCGGGGGAAATTTGGGGTAAACGGTGGCTTTGTCCCCCTCTGGGCTGCCCCATGGATCCCCCGGGGCCTCGTCCCTGAGAGGAGGACGCGGCAGAGCGCGCCGGCTCTCTCCAGGGACGTGCCCGGGTGTCCCTGTCCCGCAGAGACCTCGTGGTGGCCGATTCGAGCCCCGCAGCAGCGCCGGGGGAAGCAAAACAGGAGCGGGAGGGAAATGGGAGACTCAGAGGAGAGCAAAAATCCCCCGGAGAGAGGGGCCGGGGAGCGCCGCAGCTTCTGGTGCCGCACCGGCAGCTCGGGATGAGGGCGTTTGGAGTGGTTGGGCCGCGGCAGCGCCGCTCTGACCCCGCTCTCATATTTTTTTCAGCTTCCGAAGCTTCGCTCCTGGCGAACAGCATGGTCTTGCTGTCCCTCAACTACGTCAGGGCCAAGGAGTGACAGCCGAGCCGCCGGCTGCGCACCCTCACCCCTGGCATCGCGCGCTGACTTGGCGATTCCCAGGCTGGCGCCGCAAAAACCACCCCAAAACCCCCGCGCCTTTCGGTGGTGTGAAACCACAGCCCGGAGCCGCGAGAGGGGCCCCGATGCTGTCGCGGGGGGCGACGACGCGATTCCCTCCCTCCTGCGCTGGAGGTTTGTGCTGGCGCCGGTTCTTCTCTTCCCCTTTGTGCCGTCGGAGCGGGCTGGCAAGGCCGCGGGGCTGAGCCCCGTCCCTGCCTTCCCTCCATCAGCGTCCGGGGAAGGCGGCTTCGCTGTCACGGCTCTTAAACTGCGTCACTTTACCGGCGGGAGCGGAGAGCGAGCGTCTCCGCTGCCTGTGGACACTTCCCTTAGCGTCTTGTAGTGGCGAGCTCCGTTCAGCTTGGGTTTTGCTGCTCTGTGCCTCGTGCGGAGAGTTTCACTTAGTTTCTTTACTCCACTGAGCAGTCTTAAATATAAAAATCTCCCTGAGAGGTTAAGAAAAGATCCCAAATCCGCACGCGACCTTAGCGGGAGCCTCGGGGGGGCTTCCCCGTGCTTTTGTTCGGCTGCGGCTGCCTCCCGATCTCGGCCCCTGGTTGATGGAGGGAGGAGGCCGGGGCTGGAAACGCCGCTGCCGACCCAAGCGGGGTTAGGAAGGCAGCGCCGCGCCGGTTCCTCGAGTTCTGCCTAACGGGATCTTAGCCCTGCGCTTTCTGCCCGGCAGCGGCGGGGGCTCGAGTGGCAGCTCCCCGCTGCGTTACGGGGTTCGAACCCACCGTGTCTCACCTCGTCCCGTCGCTGCATGAGAAACGTCCGGCTGTCGAGTGAATTCAAACCAACTTGAAGTGTTTTATTAAAGACAAAAGCAAGCCAGCGGCTCCAGCGTCTCTCTGGAGGCCCCTACCTCCCTCCCGCGCCGCAAAATACCCCCTGTCCCCCCTGCGCCGGCGGCCGGGGCACGCCAACACCTGGAAAACTGCCGCCTTTAAGCAGTATTTGGGTGCGCCAGGCCGGCTCCGTGCTCCTCCCTCACCTCTGGAAGAAGAAAACCCTTCCCCCCCCCCCGGCGGTGGGTTCGACCCCCTTGCAAATGCAACTCGCCATGCAAGTTTGAGCATTTCTTTTATTTTTACACTTAAATATTCTCTTTAAATACAGCATTATCACCATGAAAAGAACAGAAAAGGCCGGGAGGGGGAAAAAAAAAAAAATATGCGGAGGACAAGCTTTGGATTCACACTGGAAAATTAAAAATAAAAAAGCCACCTGTAGGCAGTGTGAGACGGGGAGGTTGAGGAGGCGCAGAGTCACTGTTTAAACAGGCCGAGGAGCCGGCGGCCGCCCGGAGCGCAGCCGTGCCACGGCCCCCGCCGCAGCTCGGTAGCACCGGAGAGGAGCTGGGCTGGTTGGTTTCTTACACGGCGACGAATCGAGCAGGAGCCAGCGCGGGACCAGCGTTAGTGTCGGTGAGTAGGTTTAAACCGAACCAAAGGAAAAAGAAGAATAATAAAAGGCAGAAATGCGCTTGCATTGCACTATTAACAGCATAGTTATCTTTGTAAAAATAGAATAAATCCTATTAGTTCTTTGCTTAGTGTGAAAGCACCCATCCTAACCAGCGTCTTAGGATTCATTCTGTTGTGGAGCCTCCGGGCTCGCCTAACGAGTCGCCTAACGAGCCACAGCCCGGCCCAAGCGGGTCCTGTGGTGGCCAAAGGCCGGGATGCAAACGAAAAAGGGGGGAAAAAAAAAACCAAGACTTTAACCCATTCGAGTGTCACCGTTTGCTCCATTTTTGCAGCTCGGAGTTGCTCTGTTCCGCGCGGGAGCTGGAAAAAAGAAAACCCCCCCACGGCCAAAGCGGTGCCGGCACGGTGGCAGCTCCCTGCTGGGAAGGGACGCAGGACGCCGGCGGCGAAGCGCCCGACGAAGGGTAAGGCTTGGCTCCTCCCGAATTTAGCCCTTGCGTGCCGGGTGGCGTGTGCCGAGCCCCCCGGGTTTGGCAACCAGCCCCTTCCCCTCCGCTCTGCCCCGGGAGAAGGGGACAGCGTCCCCGGGGGCTCGGTGCCGGGGGGCACGAGCCGCTCTGCCAGGCTAAGGCTCGGTTGGAACCGCTCAGCCGAGGCGGCGGGAGCAGCGAAGGGGCTTTCGACCCCTTTCGGCAGCGGGAGGCGACCCCAGGAGCACAAGAAAAGCCTTAAACTGCACCAAACCCCCCAAAATAATTAAAGCACTTCATCGGACGGTGGATTTTCCCTCCCAAAATTTCCCTGCTCTCCAGCCGGGACGTTTCCCTGGGGAGCAGCGTCCCCTGTGAGCAGCTCCGGGGTGGTTTTCCAAGGGGAAGGGAGGGCGGCAGCCGCGGGGCCGTATCGGCT